AAAAAAAAAAAGTAAAAATTACCTGTAATCCCACACCTAGAGATAGTGTTAATATTTTCTTGCATTTTGATCAATTTTTTTTCTAGACATATGTCAATTTTTTACTGCTCATATTGAAAACTTGGGGTCACATTGTATATATAAGTTTGTATTCTCAATTCTGTAACCTAAAATTACAATATAAGAATTTCCCAATTTAATGAAATAACTTCTTTTAAATGGCTTCATTGATTTCTAGTACATGGTTGGAATTTATTTAACCACTCCCTTAATGTTGGATTTTAGTATGTTTCCAAGTTTTGATACTATAGACAATAGATGGGCGTGCTTAAATAGATGTGTATTTGATTCTCTGATTATTTCTGTAGAATAGCTTCCCAGAAATGGAATTGCTGGGACAAGGGACCTAGGTTTTTTTTTTTTAAGGGTTTCTGATGCAAATTAACCAAATTGCTTTCCAGAAAGGATGTAATCTGGTGCTCTCGATAAGATTTGTCAGACAGCCCAGTATAATATGTTATGTGTGTGGGTGCTTAAGAACTTCTATTTAAAGTTGAAAACCTCATGAGAAGTGTGAGATAGCAGAAAAAGTGTGGGTGATGCTCCTAGAAGGTGGGAGTTAGCTACAACTGCCTATTACAAGTTGCACCTCATGTGGAAATGCAGATGACAAAATTCTTTTTAGGTGGTCATTATAGTTAAATGTTAGAGGTAGGAAATGGAATTGGCTTATTTTCCTAATCTTCGAAGAAAATATAAGAGTTCAGCATTTAAAAGAGCATTCCCCTTTACAACACAGGCTCACCTCACTCCGTTGCTCCTTGCAGATACTGCGTTCTTTTACGAATTGAAGGTCTGTGGCGACCCTGTGTTGAGCAAGTCTGCTGGTACTATTTTTTTCCAACAGCATTTGCTCACTTCCTGTCTCTGGGTCACATTGTAGTAATTCTTACAATATTTCAAACTTTTTCATTCCTGTTATATTTGTTATGGTAACCTGTGATCAGTGATCTTTCCATGCTATTATGTAATTGTTTTGGGGCTATCATGAATGTGCCCATAGAAGATGATGAACTTAATCCATAAATATTGTGTGGATTCTGACTGCCACTGGCCATTCCCCTGTCTCCCTGTCTTTCCTGGGCCTATCACCTGAGACACAACAATACTGAAATTAGGCCAATTAATAACACTACAGTGGTCTCTAAGTGTTCTAGTGAAAGGAAGAACCAATCGATGTAACAAACTTTATTGCTGTCTTATTTTAATAAATTGCCACAGTCACCCCAAACTTGAGCAACCCCCATGCTGATCAGTCAGCAGCCAGCACAACCCTCCACCAGCAAAAAGATTACAACTCACTGAAAGGTCAGATGATGGTTAGCATTATTTAGCAACACAATATTTTTTAATTAAGGTATGTACATTGTTTTTTAGACATACTGCTATTGTCCCTTACTAGACTATAGCATAGTGTAAAAATAACTTTCATAAGCACTGGGAAAGCAAAAACTTCCTTTGACTCACTTTACTGCATATTCGCTTTATTGCAGTGGTCTGGAACCGAATCCACAATATGTCTAAGGTATGCCTATAATTTTTAGTTGTGAAAAGTTCTTTGTAAACTGAAAAAAATAATAATGGTGTTTTTTAATGAAAAAATTAGTGATAGCTGTCTACGAAAAAAAAATCTCAAGGTAGCTCTACCTCCTCCCATAATGAAATAGGTCCTTGATATAAATTTATAGCCATTAATGGTCAACCTTTTTAGGTGGCCAGGCAGAGGCTGCAGTGACTTAGGTTATAATTAAGACTGTGTGACTCTGATTCTTTTTCCTTCCAAGGGTGACTATTCTCTTGTAAATAAAGCTGAGTGGCTATGATTATTCAGAGTCCCTGTAACCAAAATAATTTGGTTTCAGTAGAACAGGAAGTACAAAGCAACTGTTTTAGTTTCTCACAATACCATCTTAAATGTTCTATACCCAAAGACTGAACTACCAATGGAGAAACAAGGCATTCCAGTATTTTTTTCATTCTTTCACCTTTTTTCTCTATTGGCCAATCCCCACCATAAAAAAGAAATTTAATATCTACCTCTTTCCAGAGCGAAGCAGGTCAAATCCTTCATTTATTTTTTCAAAAGGTAAAACATGGGTTATTAATGGATCCAGTGGAAACTTCTTAGCCATAAAATCAGCCACAAGTTTGGGGACAGAATCTTTACTCTTAAAGCCTGAAAAGAAAATGACATCATTGTAAGATTCAGCCATGGGTAAGAAGAGAATTGGAGAAGAGAATTTCCAAGCAGAATTTTTTTTTTAAAAGATTTTATTTATTTATTTGACACAGAGAGAGAGAGAGAGAGAGGCAGAGAGCAAGTACAAGCAGGGGGAGCAGCAGACAGAGGGAGAGGGAGAATCAGGCTCCCCACTGGGGCTCGATCCCAGGACCCTGGGATCATGACCTGAGCCGAAGGCAGACGCTTAACGGACTGAGCCACCCAGGAGCCCCTCCAAGCAGAATTAAGATGAAAGTTTCTAGAAAGTGCTACGTCCCACAGACTACTGTTACTGAGGCTAATAAGAGATAGTGTTTCAATATCCTTTTGCCATGGTTAGACTTTTTTTTTTTTAATACACCTAGATAAACTAGAGTCCTTAATTATTAGCTCTCCCATAGAGAAATTATACTATTGGTGCTTATTTCCAAAGTCAAGGAGCAAATTTAGCAATTGCCTAAATTTAGGCGATGAGAGCATACATGAATGACTGCTGTGGATTTCTTGGGTCCTATGAGGTGTTTCAGTGCCTTGTGCCATCATGGGTATAAAAGAAGGGTACGGAAAGATTCTAGTTAGTTTATGGGAACACCAAACAGTGTGTCTTGGGACCTTCTGTGTGCATCAGATCCATAAATGTAGTTGATTTAGAGCCTATAGCTACAAAGGGATTTTAATTTACTTTTAACCATGTTGCTTTTTAAAACCTGGCTTTGTCACTTGTAAAAGGGAAGAACTCCTGAGGTTAATAAGAATTCAGCCATCAAGCCTAACTACGTACCACCAAAAATTGCTCCTTTCCAGGTACGTCCGGTCAGTAGCAACATGGGGTTCATAGAGAGATCTTGTGAATTAGGAGGTACTCCTACAATGACGCTTACACCATACGACTCTTGACAGCAGGACAAGGCAGCCAGCTGGAATAAAATTAATATTTAGCATCATTAAAGTGAATTTTCTGATAGTTCTCACTCATGATACATAGTATCATGCAATATTGATTTAGCTAGATTGTGAGTGTGTGCAGGGAAGAGATAACATCTTTTGTTTCTTTATTCCCCATTGTGCCTAGAATAGTGCTGTGGTTTTAGGAAATGCCCAGAAAATCTCTTTTTAATGAAACCAGTGGATAAATAAATTTGTGTATGCTTAATTCTTCCTTATAAAATAGTAGAGGCAAACATCATTACAAACATATCTATATAAAGTCTGATTCCTCAAGTAAAAGTAGTGTTTTGTCACCACATTGCTCTCAGTCTATGAATTAAGTCATTTTTCATTTATTTATCACGTAGATATTTTGAACTCAGTACTTTGAACCATGTGTTTTGATGGCAAACAAGATATAAGGTCAATTACATTACTAAAATTGGTCTCTTGATATTCACTTGGAACTTCTGGTCTCCTGGAATTTCAAAAGAAAGCCTTCCCCCTCCAGTCAAGTTTTTAAACATGTTCCATAGTAAGAGAATTTTTGAGGCCCTCCCCCCACCCAGCAATATATAAGGATTAATCCTTTGATTTTGGAGTATGATGTATAGAAGACCAGGTAACCTCAGAACATGCAGCCGTTGTTCTGAGATATTTGGTATCTTTAAGTGAAGTAACAATCCAATTTTGCAGAAGAAAATAGAGGGAAAACAACAGAAAAAGGGCATAAGGAGAAATGCTACCACCTTGAATAAAGTTGGATTCTCTTGGAACTTCAGTCATCTGAAGTTGGCATATTGTCCCAAGTCAAGGCTACAAAGAGCTTTATTCTTAGGGTGGTGCTCCCTATAACCAGCACTGCTGGGATTTACTGGAGAACCTCAAAAGGGGGATTCGTTTGTTTCTGGGGACTGTTTCAGTAGGATTCTAGAGAATTCTGGTTAGGTGGAATATAACTGGAGATGTGTTCCTCATTGCAATTGATGATATTTACAATTATTTGAAAGCAGTGTTTTGTATATTTCAAAGGTGTTGTAAACACTGTAAGGTCAGAAACAGTATTGCATATCAATAGCACTAGCTAACATTTATTGAGCTTACCATCTGGCAGGTGGCACTGTGCTAAGTATTTTACATGCATTATCTCATGTAATTTATAAACAGTGCTATGAGATATGTATCTCTTAAATTTTTGTGGTGGAAAAATTTGTTGACTTTCTAAAGTATTCAGCCCAACACAGAGATATTGGGTGCTTACTATGTGCCAGGCACTGTGCTGTCTACTGTGGCAGAATGGGGCAGTGTGGTGAATGGTAAAATGCAATATTTTCTGTTAATAAATGATACTGGTCTAAAATTGGCCATGATTCCCTCTGGCCATAGTATGATATATGAAAAGAAATGAAAATTTATTAAAATATAAAAAAAGTTAAAGTGTTAAAACCATTTTTGTTAAGAATGGGGGAAAATCAAACTTGCCAATTTGAAAACAGAATTTATATTATCTATATTTACTTGAGTTTGGATTTTTTTACTAAAAGTTAACAAAGTAAATTTATAATGGCTTAATTAAAAAAAAAGACCCTCTTTCCTCTCTCTAAGGGGAACTATTACTTGAGACAGATTTGCTTAGCTCATGGAATTAAAGATTTCTCATAGGAATAAACTGAATATCCCAGGTAACAGACAGGAGATGGAAAATCACCATTCATAGTTTTTAAAATATTATTTATACATATTATTTATATTCTGATGCCTAAAACTACACTCTGGAATGTAGAAGCAGATATCTCAGGGTATTTCCTGTTACATACCATGGTGTCAAGCCGCCCAATGACTTCAAATGAAAAATCCACACCGCCACCACTCATTTCCTTCAGCACGTCCTGGATGGGTTCCTTGTAGTCCTGAGGGCTGATACACTCAGTGGCACCCACCTCTTTGGCCTTTGCAAATTTGTCTTTGTTGATGTCCACCCCAATGATCCTGGCTGCTCCTGCTGCTTTACAGCCTATGATCACAGACAGGCCGACCCCTCCAAGGCCAAACACCGCACAGGTGGAGCCCTGGGTGACCTGTGTTTGCAGAAAATGCAAAAATGGATTAAATAATGATTATTAGAAAGTGCCTAAGCTGCATAAAATGCCATGCCTTGTCCGTTATGGAGATGCTATTCAAACTCTTAGGTCCAACCTTCTGCCAAATCTCTTTTGGCTTTAGTTGCTTCGTGTTTAAATTAGGGGGGTTGAACTAGATGAGTGGTTCTCAAACTCTGCTGGACATTAGACTCACCTGGGGAGGTTTAAAATATCTCAATGCCCAGGTCACAGCTCGTAACCAACTCCATCAGAATCTCTGTAGGTGGGACCCAGTTCCCAGGTGACTCCAATGGGAAGCCCAGGGTTGGAGCCAGTGGATTGGATGGTCTTTAAGCTCTAAATGCCAGTGACTACCATCTTGAAGAGACTCTAATAGCTCAAATCCATTGACACCCAGCTTTATTATATCACACACAGAAATGCAAGTTTTGGGAAATGAAATAATAAGTGGAAAAGATTACTCTGGGATACTGAAAAATAATCCAATCAAATTCTTAACAATTAGCTCCTTGGTTCATTAACTTTCAGTATCATGACAGTATCACAAGAGCAGAAATTAGCTGTGCAACATAGAAAAGTTATCCTTAGCTTAGAGGAAAGCCTAAGAACAGGGGAAATTTAACAGATAACTAAGATAATACAGCTTGAGACTGCTGTGATCTTGTGGGTCATTATCCCTGCTTTTAAGAATATACTAATAAACAATATGCACTGAAAAATTGGTCTGTATTTTATTAATGGCTGAGATTAATTATTACAAGTGCCCTCAGCTTCTGCTCTGTGTAGGCTCAGTTAGACCACCTGCTCAAACAGATTATGTAATTGCACAAGGGACTAAGCGCTAGAGCCACAGAAATTTGGAAAACAAGTGCTCTCAATTATTTAAATTGGCTAGGGACTGTTAGTAAACCTAAACTGCTATAGTCAGCCTTCATCATGGGTAAAATATTTCTTCTGTCCCAAGTAATCATTCTGTGGGATACAATACCACTTTTTACCTTGTTTAGAAAAATTTTAGACTTGTGATTGTGATTTAAAGGTAAAGGTAATTATGTATCATGGCTTAAGATTCAGCCGGAGTTTGGAGAGAAAAGCTAGTTGCAGCTCTCATACTAACCAGCTGTGAGATTTTGGGCAAATAGCTATGTCTTTGGGCCTCCATTTCATAAAATGAAGGAATACTGCTACATTTCCAACCTTTTGGGAAGAGGAGCCTTTAAAGAATTTCTCTTTAAAATCTACCACCTCTGACCTCTGTGTGTATGTGTGTGTGTGTGTGTGTGTGTGTGTGTTCATGGCAGGAGGCGAGATGTAAACAGTGAAATCCCCTAATGACTGGAATAAATGCAAAATGCATTATTGAAGCTTCATTACTTCCCTTATAGGGATCCACAGTTGGGTGGGTTGGTGACTCTTGGTTTGGAGGTGTACCAGATAAGGCTTTGGAATCTACTGTTGATCCTAATTCTGGGAGTAGAGGATCCATGGACTAGATGCTCCTCAGAGGTGACCCTTCATTTACTTCTGCTGCCTCAAAAGCTAGCAAAACCTACTATACCTGATGCATGTTGGTGCTTACAGTACAATAAATTACTAAATGAGCTCCCAGGTCTAAAACTTAGTAATCACATAAAGAACAAATATAGAAGAATAATTGTTGAAAATTATATCTTTACTTTTTTTTAACTAAGCATCAATAGCTTTTTCATCTGTGACAAACAAATTTTCTAGGAAATGCTCCTCAATTCCTTCTGAAGCCATTTTCCCCAATCATAACTGATATCCTAAATTTTGTAGAGTATATCAGTGTTATTGTGGTAACAGGGTGGAAAGCTACCAGTAAATCTATGAAAAATGATCTCTGATTACTTTGAGAAATTGCTGTCCTTTTAGTTCCTGATAGTCTGGGTACAACCGGTTTTTTTTGTTTTAAAGATTTATTTATTTATTTGAGAGAGTGAGAATGAGAGAGAGTACATGAGAGGGGGGAGGGTCAGAGGGAGAAGCAGGCTCCTCGCTGAGCAGGGAGCGCGATGCGGGACTCGATCCCGGGACTCCAGGATCATGACCTGAGCCGAAGGCAGTTGCTTAACCAACTGAGCCACCCAGGCGCCCGAGTACAACCGGTTTTATCATCCATTGTCGTTCCTACCTTGGCAATGTTGATTGCAGACCCATAACCAGTAGAAAATCCACAGCCAATGAGACAGACTTTCTCCAATGGTGAGGCTGCATCAATCTTGGCCACTGCAATCTCATCCACCACCGTGTACTGGGAGAAGGTGCTGGTGCCGATGAAATGGTAGATGGGCTTTCCTCTGCAGGTGAACCTGGTAGTACCATCCTGCATGATCCCCCGAGGTGTGCTCAGACTGGCCAATACAACACACAGACACACAGGGCATGAAACAGGAACATAACTGATGCACAAATCCATTGGCTGTGTAAAGAGAGTATCAGAAACTTACTCATTTTTCAAGCAGAAGTTGCCTTGTGGGTGTTTACAAACAATGCATTTTCCACACTGGGGAGTAAAGAGTGGAATGACTTTGTCACCTGGAGGGTATAAAACACATTCTTCTTAAATTTCTACCCAGGAATTCATAGAGCAAGAACTGGAAGCTTATGTGTATGTGTTAGAGGTGTGTGTCTTTGAAAAATCTCCAAGAGATAGAATTCATTCACCACCATGTCACTGGTCAGTGCCTGCCAGCACCATTAATGGTTTGGGTTTGTATGTGCCTGAAGATTCCCAAAGAGGAAATACAAATATTGGGAACAACGTGGATTTAAAAGACTGTTGCTCCTGTATTAATAGTTCTCTTTCGTTGTGTGCCTTTTCTCATGGGGGTTTTATACATATCATCTCATAAATCCTTGACAATTAAACCTTAAATATTCTCACTGTAACTGTAAATATAAATGTTAGCTGTGATCAGGCTGCCATCATTCCACCAGATGCCTGGGGGATCCAGTAGTTTGTAATAGTTTGGGACAAAGTAAAAATGAGTACTGGCTTTTCAAAGTGACTGTGCTTTTAGGGTTTTCATTTTGTTTTGTTTTTTAAGGGAAAACTAACAAAAATGGGACAAAGAAGAATTCAAGAAATCCCTCTGTCAACCTCAACAATGAGTTAGGCACTCTCTTTGAGGATAAAAACTGACTTTTGGATGTTTGTAGCTGGCAACTTAATTGGTAAATAATTTTTTCTGCTTTGGTAGAAGGAAAAGTAAGTGTGTCATTTATTATTAATTTATTTCTAACTAAAGGAAATATTAAGAGCTGAAACTCAAACCAGATGATTTATTTTATTATTTTCTGTTCACAGGCCAATTAAGTATATGGTAAGGGAGAGGCCACATTTACTGGTAAAGTTCTTCCCACCTAAGAGGAGATCATGTTGATTTAATCATAGCCTCATGGCTTCCATCCTGTGAAATCAGCAAGGAACAGTTTCCATACACTGATTTGGAGGCTCAGGACATAGACTTAATTTTTCTTATTTTGTATCATTTATAGTTCTCTTTGGACCTGACAGAAGACAGTACTCAGCAACACTAAGATGGAAATTATTTGTTTATGAACTCTAACTTTGGCAGGCACTGCATTTATTTCGATCCTTATGTGTCCCTGGGATCTAACCTGGTGCCTGACATCAATAGGCACTTGCTAAAGGAGAGAATTTATGAGTGCATGAATACACACATGTCTGAGTCAGGCAGGGAGGGAAGAAAGGAGGAGACCTATGTTCTAGTCCCAGCTCTGCCATGACCTTCTGCAAAGTCTTTCCAGGCTGGATGATCTTGGGGTCCTGAACTGAGGTACATTCCCTAAGTGTGAATTCTGTACCTGGTTTTACTGTAGTCACCCCTTCTCCAATGCTTTCCACAATGCCGGCTGCCTCATGGCCCAAGATTATAGGGAGAGGTGTGATGAGCGTTCCACTAACCACGTGATCATCGGAGCGACAGATTCCTGAGGCCACCATCTATAGGGTAAAGGGAGGATGATTAGATTTAGAAAAGATTAGGACCCTTTCCTTTTCCTCATCAAACAATTTGGAATAGTCTGTGAAATAATTGTTTCTGAAATATTTAAGTCTTATTTAATATACAAGAATGTATCCATTTTTATAGAAGTAGAAATTGCAGCTTAGCACTAGGAAAATTGTCACTTAAGTTCTACCATCTGATGCTAATTGATTTTGACATCTTGATGTATATACCTTTGCACTTTTTTTCCTGTACAAACACACAAGTTCTTTTTTATTTTATTAGGATTATTGTATATACTCTTTGATTCCTTTTTAAAAATTTGACGATTTGTATTTATATCTTTCTTTGACAATAAATGTAATTCCACTGTTTGGATCACCATATAAAAAGTGTCTCTTAATGGATTTTTGCTTATTTCCATTTTTACCATTTTCTGAATTTTTTAAACCTAAAACCAAATAGAAATGGAAAAATGTTTCACCTTAATACGAACTTCATGGGCCTTAGGGGGTGCAACCTCCACCTCCTCAATGGAAAAGGGTTTCTTTATCTCCCATAGCACAGCTGCTTTGCATTTGATTACCTGGAAATTGAATAGAAAGATGATACCAGTTTTTCCCCACTTTTAAAGTCAGGGAGAGTGACTTTCATTTTTTTATGTGCAACATCTAGCCCCATGTCTGGAACCTAACAAGGGTTCCATAGAAATGAAGAACCTCTGATTTACAAAGAGAATAAAAATACCTTTTAAACAACAGGCAAAGCAATAACATAAGGAAAGAGAAACAGAATTAACTATAATGAAACATTGAGACAAAAGGGAATATATTCTTTTAGACCATCTTAATGTTGGTTTTTCTTCTCCAACGGTTGTTTCTTCCTGATATTTTTTTTTTTTAATTTTATTGTGTTATGTTAGTCACCATACAATACATCATTGGTTTTTGATGTGGTGATCCATGATCCATTGTTTTCGTATAACACCCAGTGCTC